CTAAAAGCTTGCTTGTATAGCGTCACTTCTCCTGACAGTTCAATGTACCCTGCAAAAACTGTTCGTCACGCAGTTCAGATTTTTTGCACGAATACCAATTAAGGGGTGTCCCTTTTGTGTTGGGAATTTGTTATTTGAAATGATTACAAAGCCCATCAACTATACAAACTAAAGGCAGTACCGTAGAATTGCCAATAATTACCATCGTTTCTTACATTCTCTGATACATGCAAAACACAATGGAGTTGAGCAAAACATTGGGTGATAACCTGTTTATTGGAGGTATGTAATGGTCTCAAGACACCTATGTAGTTGAAGTCAGGTAGATAACATGAGAAGGGGAACCAAAGGTTTTGGGATCTTTTATCATTTGGCTAAAAATAGCAAGTAGATATGATATAATTAAGGGAAAATTTCATCCACACCTCCTGTAATTAGGTCTAAATTCAATGATACACCTTCTCAATTTAAAAATTTCACTGTCATCCCCTGTCAGTGTTTGTCGAATTACAGAGTTAACAGCGATTGTTAATTTATAAAAATACCACTGAATATTTTATAGGGTAAAATTTTATCTACATTCATTGTAAATAGATATAACTTCAACGATACCCCCTATAAATAGACATAATTTTAACGACACTCCCTATAAATAAACCTATCTTTAACAATACCTCATTCTGATTCTGAAATTTCAATGCACTCTCTTTTAGTTCTATTATATTAACCTTTAAATTCATCAATTTAATATTTACTTTTATCAAATTAATATCATTTATTTAATTTAAACTAAATCAACATTTCATCTTATCAAATTAACACAAATTGATATTTAATTTTACCAAAATTGCATTTAGTTATATTAATTTAATATTTTATTTCATCATATTATTTCTTTAATTTAACATTAAATTATCATTTAATTTCTTCAAATCAACATCAAATTGACATTTAATTTTGTTAAATTAAAATTTAATATATTAAATAGAATATTAAATTCTATTAATTTAACATTTATCCTTATCAAGTGAAAGTTAGTTATTTAATGTAACACCAAATGACCATTCAATTTCATTCAGTAACATTTAAATTTATTTAATTAACATTAATTTTTTTCAAATTAACAATGAATTGATATAATTTTATCAAATTAAAACCAAATTAATATTTAAATTTATCAAATTAAGACCAAATTTATTTAATTAATATTAAATTTTATCAAATAATATTTAAATTTTATATATGAAATGTGATATATGAAGATTGGTCAGGTGACGTTGTGGAGGACAAACGATAGTAGAGAAGTTAGAAATGAATGGAATTTTGAAATTGATTTTATCAATTGTAATTTTATTATAGAAAAATTATTTTCAACTTTAAAATAAATTTAAAATCCTATAATTTATAATGAACAATAAACAACATATCATAGAGAGAACTTAGGTAATATAAGAAAATAAGAAACCGAAAAGTGTACATATTACCCAACAACTTATAAGAAAATGGATTTAATGACTTAAATGTCTAATGGGTGTTTTGGATGAAAAAAAAATTTAAAACATTTGCATGAAAAAAATTAAAAATATTTGCATGAAAACAAAAACTACATGAAAAACATTAAATCTCCAATATATATATATATATATATACTAACTTAGGTAATGATCAATCACTGTAGAGAACGAGCTGAAGAATAATGGCTAGCTTCAGTTCTTTATGTCTTCCAGCAACTCCAAATCGTTTTAGACCTTCACTAACAACAAAAGGTGTGGTATATAGAGTGGGAAAAGGGTTGAGGGCATTTTATTATATTTACATAAAAGAGGGTAGTTTTGACATTTTTAAAAAATTTATAGTCAAACTGTTACTTTTTGTACTGCCAGAGTTAAATATTACCGTTAAAATGATGTATTTGATTTGAAAGTATAAACCAGAAGAAGATGCAGCCAAGTTTTAAAATCGGGAGGGGGTGTTATTGAATTTAGACCTAACTAGAGGGGGTGTGGATGAAATTTTTCCTATAATTAAACTCAAATTACATGGCTATCCCTTTATAGTTGGCCTAAATAAAATTTGACCGTGTGTTTTTATAGCATGAAGTAGATCATATTTCCCCTTTGCAAAGTTTGTTCCCTGGTATCATTCAAGGATGTACATAGCTGTAGGCATCAATTTGATCTGCAAGTGTTAGTTTAGTAGCAATGCTTATTCATGCAGGTGAATATTTGACTGGGGCTATTAGATTTGCACCTCTTCACTTTTTAGCTTCAAGTTGGTTAGTATTTCCTTAAAAACTTCGACTCTTTTCTAAATTATATTCATCATCTATATCAGTTTCTGACCATTGGTTTTTGGTTGCTAACTGTGTGGCGTCTAAGTTGAAGTTTAAGATTGATGAGTTGATGAGTTGATGTCAAAACTTGAGAAAGAAAGATGAGATAGATTCACTGAATCAATTGAATGCATTTGAAAAAGGATTGAGTATCCTTATTGAGTTTTGTTTACCTATGTCATTCTTTTATGTTCATTGCAAATCTATAAAAACTTTGATCAGTAGTTCCACATGTAATATTAGACAAAGCCTTGCTAAGAGACTTCAAAGAGCTCAAAAAATGTATACAAAGAGAAAATAGATAAAATTAACTAATGGGGCTGTGATTTTATTTTTAGCAATTGATATTTGGTTTAAATGCTTTATTGCGTAACAACAGTGTGATAACTTATTAAAGTATTAGACTTCATGTTTGAATTAGTTTTAGAAGGTTTGTGGGAACAAAGGTGAACATTTGCTGTCCTTGAAAAATAGCATATGTTAAATAGCATTTGTGGCGATGCTTATGCCTACTGCGACGTTAGAATGTTGTTGTGACACTGTTATCTATACCAATCCTACTGGACCTTGTCGGGATGTAAGTTGATAATTCCTACAACTTGTCTTTCCACAGTGTGGATAAGTGTCCTAAATTTATCAAGTACTACAAATTTCATGCACTACAAATTTCATGCACAACAATATAACAAACTATTTAATTTTTATATTTATATTGATTATATGGTCCTGAAAATGGTAACTATAGGTTGCAAATATCATTCTAGTTTGATATGTCTCTTTATGTATGAGTTAATATTTTTCAAATAAAAATTTAAATAAGAATGAGTAAGAATGTAAGTTAATAATAATACGAATTCAAATTTTGTGAAATGAGAGCGCAAATTCATAGAGAATTTAGTCTCAATGCGCAAATCAACAAGCGGAGCGGGAGAGCATCGACTGTTTTGAAGGATTATGTGATCATTTAAGGGTCTAATTTTTACCATGATCAAAAAATGCATCATTTTTGGTTTCCTCCATTCTTCTTGTAATATTTGAACGCTAACAACAATTTTGTGCTAAAAGATACTCTACAATATAAAAAATTTATAATTAGTCATACAATATTTATTAAATAAAAAATTATTTATTTATTTGTAATTATATAATTTAAAGTTAAGTGATCAGAGAAAAAAAGAAGAGAGAAAAGTGAAGAACACACATTGTGTAAGAGGCAAAGTGGGCAACTTTTTGACAATTGATAACAGATGTCAATCATTAGGCAGTGTGATATTAGTAAACATAGTTGAGTGTACAATTAAAAAAGATGATAGTTGAGACAGTGAAGCGAAGTAAGATGGAGACAAAAAAATGCTAAATTACACGTATATCCCTTGAAGTTTGTTAAATAAACAATAGATCCGCTCATATAGGATAATAACACTATATTCCTTTCTGTTTTGGTTGTCGGTATGACATTCAACAATATGACACATGTAATAAATTTTATTAATCTTCTTTAATAAATTTCACTTAATTTCAAATATGAAATTGAGATGAGGAGGAAATATATAGAGAATAGAAGCAGCATATATGATTAAGAAGTGTGATTATATTTGCATTTGTATTATGGGACAATCTTTAATTGGTTGAGACAAAATCCTACTTATAATAATAATAATAATAATAATAGGAGAAACCAATAGCTAAAATTTTAACAAAATACACNTTTATATTTGCATTTGTATTATGGGACAATCTTTAATTGGTTGAGACAAAATCCTACTTATAATAATAATAATAATAATAGGAGAAACCAATAGCTAAAATTTTAACAAAATACACACAAAATAACATAGTAATTGAAGGTCTGCTTTTAGTAATTAATAGATGTATACGTGGAGTTTAGGAAGGAAAAATAGAAGAAATGAAGAGTGGACGAATTAGTCTTTTCACCTTGTTCAAATTTATCCTCTTTAAATTGGGCAAAAAAATAAAAGGAATGATAGGCATGCATATTTGTTGAAATGTAGACTATTTATTTTTATACCCTTTGACAAAAGCATAAGCAAAATTTGATTATCAGATGACCTGAGCCAAATCGAGTTTAAATACTATTGTCGGGCAAACAAATTGAGTTCCAACGGTCTAATGTTCAGTGCGATTCATTTGAACTTTTTACAAATAGTCACCCCAATACATAATAGTCACCCAATAGGGGCCCATAGGATCGATCCATACATGATGATCCACCCAATAATAGGAACACCTCTTTGATTATACTAGAATCTGTGTTGCTAACCATTTTAAGTGACCTCCAAAATGTTTACAGCTCCATAGGGATCAAACTAGAACTTAATTTGCTACAACTAGTGGCTTATAATGTTTTCACATTGAGAAATTCTTACAGTACGTTTTTGAAACAATTGGTTAACTAAATAATCAGTACAATTTATTTGAAACATACAACATTTTTGCTTTAAGGAAACAAGTAAATCAAACTAGACTTGAAATCAGACTTTTGAGACAGAGCATATAGTCTGTATGATAGTCAGCACAAGCAACAGAGTAGCACCAAAAAGTGAAATGATAGACCACGGGCTGTTGAAATAATTATGCCTTAACTTGGTCATCCATTTGTATCGACGGCGTTTGCAATAGTCGTTAATTTTGTTGAAATTTCGGAGTATCAGAATGATGTAGAATCTAGGATGACATTATTCCCCAATCTGTTCAACATGCTCGAAACGGCTTCATCATCACCTAGCCAATTGTCAATGATTCCACAGTGACGTAGTATTTCGACATCCGTTGGGGAGTTGATGAGACAATCTAAAAACTTCCTGTAATCAGTCACATAAGCTGGTTCATTTATGTCATTATATTGCTCAAATGCAACCAAATTTCTAAAGATGACCTCAGTACTATCATAAATACTCAAAGGTGGAATTTTCATGATTCCATTTTCGAACTCTATATCCAGCAACGAGGAGGTTTCTGTGGCCTTTTTGAATTTAACCCCAACCTCTCGAAGTTGTGTGCTGCATTTTATGTATTCCCATGTTCTTTCTTGGTCTTCAGCGACCCGACGGGAAGAGACGGTCATTTTAAATGAGGAACACCAAGTATCATGTACAAGGCCTAGTAGATGTTTGACATTCTCCCTTGGAACATCGGATGCGTCTGAATAAGTTGAACTTTGGGAAAAAAGATGGGAGAAGAGGAAGGGTATCTGAGAAATGAGATCATTGATATCTAATAAATCACTTCCAAGTAAGCGCTCGAGAACAAAAAATGGGAGTTGATTTTCAAATAACAATAGGTCTCGAAAAATTGTATTCGTGAACCTTTGCAATTTGAAAATAGGGTCGTCTATAACCTCTTCATATGCTAACTTGTAAAAAAACTCAATGATAAAACATCCATCAAGTAGCGTCATTCGCACAAACGCATCCTTCTCAAGTTCAATGGACTCTACATAACATTTTCGTGTCTTTTCTTCCAAATCTTGCATGGCATTGACATATCTATCCACACTTGATTCATTTGTTCGCGCAAGATACATTTGTAGGTATCTTAGTTTATGATTTTCCATCATTTCCAAGTTAGCTTTACCGTGATGATAAGGACCGATTGCAAGTATTTCTGGTTCATAGGCTAGCTCATTTTCCCTACGTAGCAGGCCATCCACTCTGAAGATGTAAGGCTCAAATGGTGTAGGTGACAAAGAGGCTAGCTCGTTGTTGATGTCAATCGACAACTGGGGGCTCATTTGTTTTCCCTTCGAAATTAGTAAATGCTATTGAAAACAGATTACCAAGGATTAGTCAAAAGATATTATATCTCTAATCCACAAACAAAAATGGGATATAAATCTATGAAAAGGTTTACAAATAATCTAGGATAAAATAAGGTTTTTGTCGCTATAAGGTTAGCTAAATAAACAAGGTGAAACTAATAAGTTTTTTTTTCTTCTTCTTTTGGGCATACAGCAAATAGACACAACAATGGACTTAGATGTTTGAACCCCCAAAAACACACAAGCTTTAGCGCGCGCACACACACATACGGTTGCGATTTTGGACAAATTGTGTATTTTATCTCGAATTTAGAGAATAGACATACATGGTGGTGGCAGTCGTGTTGTGTTATTTTGAGTTTATGTCAAACATTAATCAATCTTAATTCAACCCATTTAATTAATTGTATCGAGGAGAGTCGACTTATTTATTTTCGTGTTGACCAATATAAACCGTGAAGAAAAAAATTTACACTCAGATTTAAGTATAAATTTTAATTGTCACTTAATCGAACATATACTCATATTTTTTATAAACTAAAAATTAACTTAACAAATATAATAATAAAAATGAGTAAAAATAATTTTTAATACAATAATAATGTCACTACTTGATAAAATATTAATAAAAATTAACATTTTATTCTTATAATACTCGTTAAACGTGTTAATCGTATCAATTTCGTATTCTTCGTGCTTGACACTAACTCGATCCATTTATNATGTCACTACTTGATAAAATATTAATAAAAATTAACATTTTATTCTTATAATACTCGTTAAACGTGTTAATCGTATCAATTTCGTATTATTCGTGTTTGACACTAACTCGATCCATTTATTATTCGTGTTAATAGGTCGTGTTATTTACGGGTTCGTGTCAAAAAATTATCAACATTAACCCACTAAGTTCGTGTCAATTTAGAATTGTGTTGTTATATCGCATCAGAAATTACCACCCCTAGACATACACAAGAAACTCACCCAAACCTATTTAATTAATGCTGTTAGGTGACCTGACTTGAACCGTCTCGCTAAACCAGGTCGCTTCTCCGACAACCTAAAAATCCACTCGGTGTTGGTAAAACTTANTGGGTTCGTGTCAAAAAATTATCAACATTAACCCACTAAGTTCGTGTCAATTTAGAATTGTGTTGTTATATCGTATCAGAAATTACCACCCCTAGACATACACAAGAAACTCACCCAAACCTATTTAATTAATGCTGTTAGGTGACCTGACTTGAACCGTCTCGCTAAACCAGGTCGCTTCTCCGACAACCTAAAAATCCACTCGGTGTTGGTAAAACTTAGTAAAAAGCTTCTACTTCTATAAGGATTTAATAATACCAGATTACGGAAATAAAAATAAAAACCCACTTACTTTGTGTGTATTATTTTAGGATTGTGTTAAGTAATGGCCAACCCTTACCACCAATGTCGTATTAATTTTGTATCGAAACTTCCTACCCTTGGCTACTAGTTGTGTTATGCCACATGTATAAAATATGATAGGTTTCAACAAACTCATTTTATAGTCTTAAATAGATTTATCTAACGGCTACCAACATCCTTCTCAAAATCATTCATATTGAATTCCCCTTCCCCTAAATCTATCACTTGCACCGTGCCTTCAGACATGAGATTACCCCTAGTATAAACATAAAACACCACAGCTAGAAAATAGCTCATAAAAGATTTTTCATGATCTTCCACCCATGCCACATGGTCTTTTATTGTACACTCAACTATCATGTTTTTCAGATTAGACCTCAAATTATAGGTACTGATTTTAAATTGCCACCTCAATATCACGTTTCTCATTATTGCACTCTCAACAACGATAACTGGTTTCATGTTGCCCCAATCATAGACATTGCAAATGTGTAAATTACAAAACATTTGCGTATTCCTATCAATACATGACAGATATTTCATGTTGGAACAATGTGAAACTAATTTACGTAATTGAGAATGAAATATGAGGAATTGAGGANTAAATTACATTGCAAAGTAAGAGTGATACACTTTCTATCATGCAAGAAAGAAAAATATGAATTATAGATTTTTCTTCCTTTGCGTTTGGTAGGATGGATGAAAAATGAAAATAATTAATAATTTTTATGCTTAGTAAGATGGAAAAAATATTTATTTTTATTTTTTAAATTTATGATAATACTACAAATATTTATTTTTAATTTTTTTTAAATAAAGTATAAATATATATTTTATCATTGTATTTATATATAAAATTAATTTATACATAATATATGTATATATCAAATGATATATAAACAAATAAGATACATTTCACCATAAATAATTAATTTTTCATCCATTTTTCTTCCAATTTTAAAGGGATTGATTTTGACGAGTTGGAAGAAAAACTCATCTAGCCACTTTTCTATTATTCCTTACCAAACATGATATGTTATTGATCCAGCCAACTTTTTAACTTTATATTCTTCCAACTTTCTATTGTAGTATTAATCAAGAATAGGCAAATTAATTACTAGCATTACCATAAATATTTAAATTGTTTATTTTATGAGTTACCGTTCATGTTAAATTTTTAGTAGTGTGTCAAAGCATAATTAATTTTCAATAGAAATAAAAAGAAACAATTCCAATTTGTTAAATTAATTAGTTATAAAAAATTTTGGATCGATTAATCAAAAAAGTCAACAATATTATTGAATGAATTTGATCATATAATCACTCGAGTATAGTTCAATTTTATCGCGCTTATGTGAAGGGTGAAAAGTTGTTCAAAATTACAACATTAGTGTAAAATTTACAAAAATAATGGGTAAAATTATAACATCAATGGACAATTTACTATAGTAGTGGACAAATTTTAACCACCATTTGAAGTACCATCACACAGTTAGTGGGTTTGTGAACGATCAAGTAGTTGCACATTGAGGGTAAAATTATAACATTAATGAAAAATTTACAACAATAGTAAACAAAATTGCATAATTAATGAAAAATTTACAACAATAGTAAACAAAATTACATAATTAATGAAAAATTTACAAAATTAGTGGGCATAGTAATACCCACTGTTCTTGTGATATTAACAAAATTAACACTAAAATACCCATAATAAGTGTAAACAAAATTTCTTAAATATATCCACCATTCTAATACTTTTATCCATTGTTGTTGTAAATATTACCTACATTATAGTATCGTAAACTTACCCATATATGTCGTAAATATTACAAAAATAATTGTAAATGGTCATCTAAAATTGTAAATATGTCCACAAATCTAGTACGCTTATCCACAACAATGGTAAATTTGCCCTTAATTGTAGTAAACTGACTCTCATGTGTGATAAATTTACACTTAATTGTACTAAATTAATATGATTTTGGTAAATTTTACCACAACAATGATAATATTATCCTTAAAAATATTAAATCTAACCAATATGGTGTTGTACATTACCAAATTTGGGTAAGGAAACAACATTTGGTGAAGACTACATTGACTTTGTGATAAATCTCAAGTTCTTGTGATAGATCGCAAACATTCATAAAATTTTATTTCATCAATTCAAAATTTTGTCAATTCAAAAACAAATTTAAATTTAACAACAAATAAATAATTCAATTTCGTCAATTCAAAATTCATAAATTTAATGTTTGCTTTTCATGCAATTGAGATCCAATTCATCAAATTAACCTTAAATTAATATTTAATTTCATTAATTGAAAATTCAGTTTCATCAAATTCACCTTCAATTTTATTTATTAAAAGTCAATTTCATCAAACTATCACCAAATTGACCGTCAATTTTACCAAATTAATAATGAAATTCATAAATTTGAAGTTATAACCAAATTGACTGTCATTACCACCCTTTCTAATTTATATTTAAATATCACTTGATAAAATTATCACTTGGTATTAATTTTATGAAATTAAATTTTAATAAGTGAAATTGAAGGTGAATTTGATGTTAATTTGATGAAATTGAATTTTGACATGATAAAATTAATGGTCAATTTGGTGTTAATTTGATGAAATTAGATTTTAATAAATAAAGTTGACAGCGATCTATCCCAATTATTATTTTTTGGAATATATCACAATATTTATTATTTTTTTCAACATATCAAAATTATTATTCGAAATATATCAAAATTATTATTATTTTTATCTCTAAAATATTTGCGATCTATCGTAAGATCTTATAATCTATCGCAAGGTTGCAACAATCTCTTCCAAATTTTTTTGAAAAACAATAAGTTTATAGTCGATCACAACTCACTGAAGTGAAATTTAGTAAAATTGTGGGTAATTTCCCACAAATAAGGGTAGATTCACCACCTTTGAGAGGTCAATTTACAACAATAATTAATTTACTAGTTTTGAGATTAATTTACGACTGTTCTGATTAATATTATGACTCAATGTGCAACTACTTGATCAATCAATCAATATTATTGATCGATCACAAACCCACAAAATATAGTTCTGGTACCTCAAATGGTGGTAAAAGTTTGCCACTATTATAGTAATTTTGCCTATTACTATACTGAATTGTCCATTTATGTTATAATTTTACTAACTATTATTGTAAATTTTTCACTGTTGTTATAATTTTTATCACTATTGTGGTAAAATGGTATCGTACCTTCAAATTTTATTTTTTTTAATAGGTGTTTTTATAATTTTTGCAGGTCATTTTTCAATAAAATTTTTTATTACTTTTGTCAGTAATTTATTACTTTGGTGGGTGTTTTTATCATTGTTCTGGTAACACATGCTTTTGGTACAAAAAAAATTATCACTTTTGCGAGTATTTTTATCATTATTATGATATTATTTTTACCAATTTTTTTGGGTTCCATAATAGTGATAAAAACGCACAAAACAACAAACGAGGATAGATAGATTAGGGATTTTAGAGAAAAGACTTATTAGAGTTTTAATAGGATTGTGAAATATTTAGGGGTAGAATTGTCATTTGTAAAATATTATTAAAAATAATTTTACTGAGCACTTTCAACTTTTAAAATTAAGTAAAAAGTCTCCTATTTAATGTTGTAACCTATTTTTAAGGAGAAGTTAATATAATAAGATATTAAAATTTTAGTTATCAAACAAGTTTAATTAATAAGTGCTGAATGAATTCATTTTAAGTGTTGAATTTAAATTAATAAGCACACCCTTAATGGCAACTTCTACTACACTGAAGTTTTCAACAATGTGAATTAAGCATTATATGCTAAATAGCAAACTTAAGGCACAATTATTTACCAATGAGTCTTTGGTCCAATTGTACTCCTTACTTTGTGAAGGCTTTACCTTTTT